GATTTCACAACCGGGCCGGGTGATATAAGGCGGGCGTAGCAACACCTGCGGCAGGACAAGAATTATTCTGTACGAGGTGTTCGAGAGAGTAAGGGAGAGGGGAGAAAAAGAGAGAGAGAGAGAGAGAGAGAGAGAGAGAGAGAGAGAGAGAGAGAGAGAGAGAGAGCACGGCCGGGGGGAGCTTAGCTGACACGCGGCTGCGACCGCTCGTAAATTTCACGGGGGATCGTTAAAGTCGTGTAAATCGGTTTCGCAGAGCGACCCCGCGCTGTTCATCCATGGGCGAGCACGGACGCGACGTGACTCTGTTACCGCTTCGAGACCCCTTTGCTATCCCTGGGCGCGGCTGGTACCGGAAGTAGAGATCGCGGGGCATTGCATGTCTCGCGCGGACCCTCGATTTATATAATTATCCTCATCACGGTGTAAGAAGAAAAGGTACACCTTTCCGATAGATGCGTAGTAAGATAAAAGTTATCGGGGGAACAGTCAGCCAATTACGTTTTGAGCTTTTATACGAAATTCAATATGGCTGCTTACCAAATAAAGCCCGAACACACGAAAAAATGCAAGCAATAAGACCAATCGGAGTTCTCAGCATTGCTTAAGTTTCAAAATGGCTGCTTACGTTCTCGACAGTCATTAGTTATTTTCCTTAAGTCTTAAGTTTTACTGCTCAAGTTTCTTCGAGTGTTCGAGCCTTAGTCACATGAACAGCGCGTTACCTAGAAGCACAAGCTCCGTTTGGTCAGAGATTTTAGACCTACGCTATTATGCGCAATGGTATACCTTCCTTTTTACACCACGATCCTCGTGATCGAAAGTCCCGTGCGAGCGTTCGCAAATAAAAAATTTAACCAAGACTGAGAATGCAATGTAACTTTGTAGCGCATCGTGGTATCTTCAGCATCGGGATCGTTACGTAACTCGGCTCAAGTGATTTCAATTGCGGTATTCCTCGCATTTCACAAGTCGGCTCCGCAAACGAGTCGCGACGTTAGTACTCCTTTTATGGAAAACACTCTCGTCGGTGGTCTACCATTGTCTCGACTCCTCAGTGTCAGTACCACTTTCGGAACGGGTTCGGTTCGATCGACGCTTGTCGATTAAATTCACTCACGAATGCGCACGGCTGCGGAAGAGCCCTACGGCAGCGGAAGGCAAGGCCCGTCCAACAGCGGCGAGCCGCGGCGCGCCTCCCGCTTTCGATGATAATTACATCCTTTTATTCTACCGGGGTAATTACAAACGTTTACCCCAGGGCTTTCGAGCGGATCGCGTTAAAACCCGACCGTGCGGAACTCGCGCAGATCGAGCGTGATCGACATCGTTGTCATCGCGAGAGAACCGATCCGCGACGAAGCTTTGTTAAGACCGAATTAGACTAGCAATTGACGCGGATTAGATTGGGATTGTCGATTATCTTCTAGCCAATGAGAACATAATCGGCGATTTAATCTACTCTCATTGACTAGAAGACAATCATCAATCGCCAATTCCAATTAAATCCAAGTCGGCAATTGCTAGTCTGATTCGGCCCCTAAGCCACTTCATACAGAGTTGTACTATCAACTAGCAATTTATAAGCCTAAATCTCTACGCGCGAATGCCAGGATGCGATTACCGTAAAAACACGACAAAGACGGTTGCGACTGTGGAAGTAGGTTCGTTAAGGCCTGTGTCCACGATGCTAGAACTTGGTCTAGGTTCTGGTTCCGAAAAATGTGTAGCCAATCAAATTGCAGCTTTTAGGGAGTAGCTGCAAGATGATTGACTACACATTTCTCGAAACTAGACCTTGGACCATGTTCTAGCATGAAGACTATTGGAGAGTCATGACCACATCGGTCCAGTTTCAGGATTGAAGGTCATAAAAGAGAAGAAGAAGGGCGAAAGCGAGAAGACATTTGGTCTCAACGATCGACAGGATATCGAAGTTGTCGATGCACGTTTAAAGATTGCAAACGATCGATTTGCTTGGATCTCTATAATACTCATTTCTGCCCATGCAGATTAACCTTGGTCTCAGTTGAACTGACTTTTTATCTTTTTTCAATTCCTACAACCAGAAAAAGGTAAAAAGTAAGTTAAACCGAGATCAAAGTTATTTTGCATTGGTAGAAATGGGCATAAGCGAAGAGCGGCACTTGCACTGATCGCAAAACAAACCGCGGGGCTGGAATGTTTAATAAATTTTCACCCGGCGCGGTGATGATCTCGTTTACCCCGAAGGAGACTTTTACGGTGACACACAAATTAGATAGTAATCTCGCATTACGCCACTGGCGCGAGCGAGTAACGCGCTCACTACCCTCGTGTCGGATAGTCGCGTTCCCGGCAGAACAAAAAGACAGGAGCAGCAGCAGCAGAAAGCGTAGAAAGGGACGGAGACAAAAAACGCGAGCGCAATAAAAGGCCGGGAGGAATCTTCTATTATATCTCCCGTCGTCTCGGAATGATTGCTAGAACGTGCGTGACTTGCCACCTGCTCGCTATTGGGAATTCCACCCGGCAGGAAGAAACGGAGAGGTCCGCGAGAAGAAAACGGCCCGTTCGAGGTATCATCGAAACCGCACCGTAGCCTTCGTTTGTTTGACGCGACGACGCGAAGTTGAACTTACTCGATCACACCCGTCCCTCGTCTTTCGTCGCGTCATCCTCGCTGACTAGCCGCTCGTCTGATGGCGATCGAAAGGGACGGGCTCAACGGGATGGGACCTTCTTTTTTTCTCTACACCTCGAGAAGTAGTAGCGCGCGAGGTTGGCGCTTGTACGTCAAACTCGCGGCCACCACGGGCCCGTGCCGTCCCATTGAATCGTATCTGTCAATGGGGAACAATATGGTGGCGAGAAAGGCGAGGAGGAAGAGGACCCGGGGCCCTCCGCGAGCAGAAGGGAGAAGCAGAGAGGAGCCGAGCCACCGAACCAGCGCGTCTCGGCAGCCTCGTCTAAGTTATGCAGATTGTTCCGAACAGTTGGACTTTAATGCCGGCATAAATCCTTTGCCACTTAACTTTATATGCGAAGTAGAATGCGTTCCCGCCCCCTCGGCGCGGTTGGACTCCTCTCTTCCTTACGTGTGCTCTTCGGATCGACTCGTCTCCTCTTTATCCTAGGTACAGAATTCTTCTCGCAAAATGCAATCTAGCACTTGGAGTACAAAATCGGTCAAGCTTCTGTGTTGAGAGCATCGCGACCTAGACCTGTGACCGCGCCCATGTGCAAAAGTAACCGCGTTTCTTAATTTATTTGGCGATAACTGAAATTAATCTAAATGCATAACTAGGGCATCTTGATTTTGCACAAATTTTTCGCATCCATTATATTATAATCTTGCTTTGTGTTTAATCATCTCATTCGATTCCCGATTATGTGTTTACAGCGGCGCTTCTGCAGCAATCTGAGAAGAGATCATTTCAATAATCGCACTATAATGCAGCAGTGCAATAAACTACAATTGTGCGTGCTTTAATTATTTATCTAATTTTCTTTTTCTCCCCGCAGTGCACTTGAGCATGCAGTCTCCGCTATGTCTTTTCCTTTCGTCGCACGTGGGCGACCTTGAGAGGAGGGAACCATCGTAAAACTCGTTGAATTTTGAGGGGGGGAGGGAGGAGGGGAGAGATAGACATTCGCGAGCCAACAACCAGGACGAAACTCGAGCTATCGTTATCACAAGTGAAACCCGAGCTTGTATTTGCCAACGTCGTAGACCATGGACCGCGATGTTACTGTCGTCGACCCCTGGCTATTCTAACGAGCTCCCCCTTTTCCATTCCACGTTGTAACGTAACGTGACCACCTTTGATAAGAGACAGAGCTACGGGGTGACAGGTAAATTCGTGCGTTGCCGCAAACCGGAAATAAGCGGTTTTCGTGATTGCGGGCGTCATTTGGCCTCGTGAATGGACACTTGATACCGGGACGTTCCAAGAAATTACTCTCGTTAGTATAAATTGAGTGAAATCTAATGGGCAGAAAAGGATTTAGATAATCAGTCGACAGCGCGATAGTTTCATACCGTAACTCTATCGTTGGTAACTAAAGTAAAATTGACGTTACGTAACTGTTGATGTTCACTGGAAAGTAATCTATGGATCGTCGAAGATTTATATTCTGTTTTCTGATTACTTTTAGTTGCTAGTTTGGACACAATTTAGGATGCCGCGAAAAATTACGATTTTAAACATTCTGATTTTATACCCGTAATATAGTGAAAATTTTTAATTTCTTTTTGCATATTTTTAACATTAATTATCAACGTATTCAAATCTGAGAACTTATTTTTTCCGTGTTATCCAATTTATATTATTTATTTGTTTACATGAATATGAAAAAGCATTTGTAGACATACTATAAACAATAAAAATCCACATAGAAGTAATCCTGAAAACGGGCACAACTCTGTGTGAATTTCTATTATCATTCGTTGATAAAAATGAAAACCGCAAAAAGATACAGTTTCGCAAAATTATGTAATTATGTATTACTGTACCGCATATAAAAATCTAAAAATTGAGATTATTTAAATAATATAAATTAATATGACTAAACGTTCAGATATTTATCTCTCAGGACAGTCGGTAACATCTTAATTATTTGCTTTGCGAATTATCTTCAAATCTATCTAGCGCTACGAAAAGTAACTTAAATTTATTTAAAAAGTGCCTCGTTTCGCCGATATCTCTAGTAACCATTTTCCACGCGAAAGAAATCAACGTGCAAGGTATTTTTTATAAAGTTATGTTTTAATTAACATAGCCAAGTCACATTCCGCAAGCATAAGTAAAATTTAAGTGGACTGTTCGCGATTAACATTCCCGATGTTTTTCCCTCGAAAACCTTATATGTATTTCTTCATTTCTTTATGTTTTGCGCTACACACATATACAATTAAGTTAGGACCGTATCAGCTGTTTCAGTGTGCCGTGTCTAATTGACTAAATTAGTCACGTAACTATATTTAACACTAAATTGTAGCGTCAATGAAATGGCTGCTTTGCAGCTTTATCGCGCAGCGCGCTAGTCGCGTCGCCCGCCTCGACAGATGGCGAACAGGTTCTCTATTTTGTGACGTACAATCATGGCGACGAGCACTTTCGGCGGGAAACATGTCTCAACGCTCACAACGTGTAGCGTGCGTCGCAGTTCGTCATTGTCGTCGACCAGTCCATAGTGACGCGGCCGCTATAACGCGTTTCTCTCCAAGAGTTTCAGCGTTACACAGGGAGTATAACGACGAATATAAGAAGCTACACAAAGGTACGTCGCCGGTAACCTCCAAGAAGTCGCTCGCGCGGCGCTCGCCTACGTAAATCGATAAAACGAAGCAGTAAAAGTGAGCCTAGTCGTCATCGAGATAATTGCTATGGGCACTATTTATGATATCCCGACACTTTGTGTCTCGTAAAACGCAATAAGCCACGGACAACGGCCGCGATGAGAGCCGATTTAGTACGCGATTCGTCTCTAATTGACTGCGGGCAGTTCCTTGGGGGGGAAAAAAATCACCTGGTCGGCCGTCACTTTTGTCTCCGTTTTATGGCGATATAAAATTGAAATCAGTTGTCTCGTGTGCTTAGCTCGCGTTAGAAACGACTTGTGCTGTTTCAGTAAGGAGCAGCTGCGTCAGCATCATGGAAATGCTCTCGACGAGGAGGCTCTACGACAACCCATTCACCATCTGCGTGGAGGGAAACATTGGAAGCGGTAAGACGACGTTTCTGAATCACTTCCAGAGCTTTAACAACGCTACGATCCTGCAGGAGCCGGTGGACTTGTGGCGAGATGTAGCTGGAGTAAACTTGTTGGTAAGTCTTTCAAAAGCCTGATCTACAATGTGCTCTTTGCATCGAGAAATATTCTATCTCGTAAGTGCATTCAAAAAATTTGTGCCAGCTGATTAATTGTACACTCATCGTACATTGTCGACACACTTTTTAAATATATTGGTTTGATTGATTAGACTTGAGGGTAATATATTTGAGAGACGTACACTTGCGGTGTAGAAATTACAACAAAGACAGATCACACGGAGTATCGCTATGTAGATTTAAACGGTATAATTATTTGGATGAACATTTCCTGACGTGAGTCCACGAGTATCAAGGAAAAAAAATCAACATCGATAATACTTTCAGGATCTTTTCTACAAAGACCCAGTAAACTACGCCTTCTTGTTTCAATCGTATGTGCAATTGACTAGGCTAAAATTACACACCATGGCCACACCGTCGCCCTACAAAGTTATGGAGAGATCCGTATTTAGCGCGAGATGCTTCCTAGAAAATATGAAGCGTACGAGGATGATACAGAACGTAGAAGCGCTAGTTTTGGAAAATTGGTACGACTGGTGCATGGAAAACGCGAATATAAGGGCGGATTTGATAAGTACGTACCTCTATCGGTTAAGAAACTTCTATGTGAAATGTGACTTCCCTTTCATTACATTGTAAGCATCTTTATTCTGCAATTCTTAGTATATCTAAGGACGACGCCCGAACTGGTGTTTCAACGAATGCAAGCGCGTGCGCGCAAGGAAGAGGACTCCGTGACGTTGGAGTATCTGAGGCAAATCCACGAGATCCACGACGACTGGCTCTATAAACGAACTCTATTCTCGTTACCGGCGCCGGTTATGATCATAGACGGCGACAAGAGTCTCGAGGAAATGGTACCACAATTCGAGAAGTGCAAAGACCGGATACTTAACGAACAAACAGACAGCGCGACAAACGCCAGAATAGTTTTAAATACTAAGGCGTAACGTTAACTGTTTATATGATGACAGTCTCTTGTTTACTTCAGATTAATTATAGGTAATTTTCATAATAATATTTAGGCGAATCATCAGCACGCCATTTCGCAAAGCCTGATAAATCCTTTCAAGGTAGTAGCGGTTCTTGTGACTTACCTTCGGAGACTGAAATAATACTGTGCTCCGGAAAGGTGGGCTGATTGTCATTGACATCGATTACCCGTACGCTCAATGCAGCTGTGCCAGTTAATTGCGGGTTTCCCTGGTCAGTCGCGATGATAGTCAATCTGTACTTCTCACGGATCTCGCGATCTAGGACTATGTTGGTCCGCACGACTCCGCTGTACGGCGGACTTATGGTGAAAGCATTATCTGGATTACCGTCCACAATATGATATAAGATTCTGCTGTTCAGCCCTTGATCCGCGTCACTTGCTGAAAGCTGCAGCAGCAAATATTGACAAATATAATGTGTGTTTAATATATGATATATTTTTATATCATCTATATTTTTATATCTAAACTTTGATACATATACGACAGGTAAAGTACAAATAAATATTTGCACCTTTGCGTAATCTTAATTGTATATCGTGTTTTCCTTTAGACCCTTTCTTCATGAGAATAATTCCCTAATAGATTTTTATACATCACATATGTATTGCTTCCTCATAGAGAAAGTAGCGAGACCGACTGTGTATCTTTACGCGAGTTGAGAGGCCTATTTCAAAGCGTCACGAAGACACATTTTTAAGAAAATGTGCGTGTAACTTCGCTTCGTATTTTAATACCTTGTTTCATTGTGCAAAGAGGTGTAATGCACCAAATATAAACGTGAAAACTATGATAAAGTTCTTTCACCTTTATGACAAAGTCTCCTTTGGTATTGCCCTCGAGTACAGTGGCCGAGTACTGTATTTGCGTAAAGATTGGTGGATTATCGTTGACATCGGACAACCTGACGATCACTTTGACATACGCCTCCAGGACCTCCTGGCCCGCCGTCCTCGCCGCTACGTTGAGAATATGTCTCGAGCTCTCCCTGGGCTCTTCCTTCGGCTGCTGGCCCTCCAAGGATCTACCCCACGAATTGGTGCGCGCCGCGTCGTCCGGCAGCTCGTTATCGGGCTTTATCGTCAAGTCGTTCCAGAGCTCCGCGTCCAGCCTGGTAGGATCGTTGACCCGTAACAGACCGGTGTCCTCGTCGATCGCGAAAGTATCATAGTCGTTTCCCGACGCGATCGAATAGGTGACATGCTGCCTCCTCCCATCGGTACGCACCGCGGTGATCTTGACAATCTCCGTGCCGGCCGCCGAGTTTTCCTGAACGACTACGTTGTACGTGTCATTCTGGAACTTCAGGCTGGGAGTCAGATCCGTGAGATCGCCGACTTGGAGTTCGATTAAACCCTTTGCGCTCTTGGGCGGGTTACCTTTGTCCTGGGCCAGCACTTCCAGGTGATACGTCTTACCATTATCTTGCGACAACGACAAACTTGCCGTTACCTCACCGGTGCTAGGGTGTATCCTGAATTTCGGTTTCTCCTGCTCGTTTATCAATGAGTACACGATATCACCGTTTGCGCCGTCGTCGGCATCTTTGGCCGACACCCGGAGGATGTTCTGACCCGGCTGCGTGCCGATAGGTACACGTGTCCGAAAGGGGTACTCCTCGAAAATCGGCGCGTTATCGTTTACGTCGCTGACATTTATTTCGACGAGTATTGACGTGCTTTTTGCGTCGTATCTGCCGCTATCCGTGGCAACCACGAAGAAAGTGTAACTGCTTTGGCGTTCACGGTCCAGTGGGCTGTATCGAACAGGAAGAGATGGACATTATAGAACAGTTGGCTCGTTATCGCAATCGCGAGGTCGAGAAATAAAAACTGATTTAATAAAAAAAAAAGGGACATTGCACAATTACGTTTACTTCTCTTAAAAATTCAAATTAACATGTCTCGATAAAATACGTCAAAATAGTATCGCAGCTTCTTAATTATTAATAAAAGCTACGATTGTCTTTTTTTCGATGAAATATCTAAATGGATATCGTTTCTACGCTAATCAGAAGTTATTAGAGAGGTTATTGGAGAAGTCAATTAGGGAGAATTCGGATTTAAGCGTCTCACAAGGCTGTATCTTAAGACAATGCCGTTACGCAGATGCAAGTCGGGCAAGCTGGAGAAGTTCCCAGCGTGCCTTCGCGATACAACGTAACGCTCGCAATAATTCTTAATAAGCGTGGGATAATGATCGGACATCAGTAGTGCACGGGTCCGATACGCTTATTTACGATTGCGCGAAGCTAACTCGAATACCCCACAGTTATCTTCCGCCTTGGTATCCGCCGACCGCGGCTCCAAGTATGCGGCCTTACGAATCTCTATCGCATCCGAACAGAACGACACTTGCGAGGAACGTTTTAGCTGAGGATGATTCTTTCGAGGAATGCAAGAACCTTCACGATACTATCGCTCGACTGGTAAATAAACGAGGCGCACGTGAATCCGAACGATTACGTAAGAAACGTGGACATACTTGTATATGTCACACTGGCAATTAATTTCGCAAAGGCAACTCGATCACGAATAAACTTCGTTCATATTATTTCGACGTCTTGCTACCAATTCGCGCTCTTACCCAGACGCCACAAAGGTGAACGTAAGCTCATGGAGAATTTATTTGAAAGAAAAAATACCTGCAGAATTAGAAAACTCAATATCTGAAGAATTCTTGAAGAATCAACCACAATCAGTTCGTCTTGAAGTATTCGTCAGAAGTTCATCGCCGTGTACGGCTTCCCCAATCATTGTTATTGTATTCTTCTATGAATTCCTGAAGAATTACAATTCAGAAAGGCAGAAAACTTGAAGAATACTTAGCGAATTCACTGTGCTATCTGGATATCATTCTAGACGAGAACTAGTCCTCGTTTTATCCCCTCCCCCTCCGCGCATTGTTTCTACCGGGTGGTCTCTGAAGAGGGAAAAAGTGTTCCGTACACCCTCTTCCCATGCCGAGAGGCGCTACAAAGCAACGGCACGGCTTTCAAAAGGTAAGAGGACCGAGAGACCGTCACCGCAAGAGCAACGGCAACAAGGCGACACGAAAGCCGGGTTCGCGGCTACCGATCGAGGGAAGAGGATACCAAAAACAGAAGCGGGAGGAGAGAGAGCAAGAGAGGAGAGGATGAGGGGGAGCAGACAGCGAAACGAGACGGCCGGACAGTACTCGCGGCGGGAAAGGGTGAAGAGAGAAAGAGAGAAGGGCGAGGGGGAGAGACGCGGCGAAAGAGCAGCTCGAACCGAGATCTGGTTTTGCATATCAGGAGGCATTTTGCCGGCTGAAATAATGCATTGAAATGCCACATGGCGTCTTGCTGAAATGACACACGGCTGTCGCGGCGCAAAAGTATGCGCCCTCCTGGGTTCCTTCCCATGGCTACCATTCTCTCCGTCTCCTCCCTCTTTCTACATCGTTGAAGGTGGTGCCCGGTCGATTTCGCGACTCCCCTCGCGTTCCGATGTACCCTGCGACACGAGGCTCCTACTCGCGTCGTTGGCGGACGGAAGCACAAACGACAAAGGGCGGAAGGAGAGGGAGCCGCGCGCAAACGGACGCGGTCGAGCGAAATCGCACCGCAATCGTAAACCAAGATTGGCACCGGAGGAAGATGGGAAGGAGGAGGGGGAGGCGACTAATTGCCACGGGGATTAAAGCGTGAATCGTGAGTCACCGAGACGTACGCTGGGCGTGTTCGGTCATGCGGGTTTTACGGCGAGTCCGCATAATAATTTGCAACGAGCAAATTACATATTCCCGGCGTGGAAGTGATTTATCGAAATCACTCGGTCGTGTCGTCTTGGAGAGAGGAGGAGGGGGATGGAGGTCGCCCCGGACATGGCGACACGGGGGACCAGGCGGCCGTCTCTAATCGCCGCGCCGCGGAACTCTCTCCGCGCGACCGCGTCCGACTCGTAAAAGTTAATGCTTTGTATATAAGGGCTCGGCATTGAATTCGATTCCGCGAAGTTCGCGCCGCGCGCAATTAGCGTTTGAGGGTTTTCCACCGCTCGCCAACGCCGCGACCGTATCGAGCGGTTAACGATCGCTCCGCGCTCAGCCGGGATCAAGGTTCGCGGCAGCCCCGCGGCGAGATCGTCCATTAATTAACGAACCGCGACCTTGCCCGTTTGGTGGGATGGACGGAAGCCACGGAAAGTCCTCGCCTTAACGACGTCTCGAGATATCGGTTTATTGCGCGCGTAATCATAAGAGACATATACGGAACCAAGGGGGACGGGCGGACGGAGCGCGGCGGAGGGCCGAGCGAAAGATATATATAGACAGATAGAAGAAAGAGAGAAAGAGTTGCGGGGGGAAAGGAAGGGAGAGCGGTATCTCGGGTTGTGCCGACGGGTTATGCATACGGAATCGTTTAATCGGCCATAGTGCATCGTTCGTGAAGCGCATCGACTGACTTTATAATTTTACGACGTTCCTAGACCGCGTCTCCCCCGCTGCCCTCGAGCGTCGAGCTTTTTTCATTGCAGGCCGACCGGCTGCTTCCCCTCTTCCCCCCTTCCCTCCTCTGCGTGCATGAGTGTGTGCGCGCGAGCGTCTTCACTTCCCGTTTTACGACGTTATACTACCGGCGTAATATCCCCCTGGGTGATCCTAATCGGATGTGTAATAAAGGTCGCGGTAATTAACGCCAGGATGAAATTAGTCGGTTGGTAGCCAAGATCGCGAAGCGAAACTCGCGTGCGGCTTAAAGGAAAAGAGAAAGAGGAGAAAGAGAGGCCGCGAAGAGAGGATCCGAGGGGGAGAAAGAACGGAACAAAAAAAAAGGTCAGAAGGGAAGGAAACGACGACAGTGACAGAGGGTAAGAGAAAGAGGGGAAGCCTCTACGTAAAAAAAAAGGCGAACGCGATGGGACGTGCGCACTCACCCGGCCGTAGTAACGACGCCGGTCAGGTTGTCGACCCTGAAGAGCCAGCTGGTCTCCTCGAAGATGGCGTACGTGATCTTCCCGTTCACACCCTGGTCCGGATCAGTCGCCTTCACGGACATCACGCTCGAGTCCGGCGGGACGTCCTCCGAGATGGTCGTCACGTACTTGGCGAGATGGTAATTCGCCGGATAGTTCGACGATCCGTATGGGAAGCCGTGCGAGCTGGACCCGGTGTACTGATTCTGCACGAAAATCGGAGCATTGTCGTTGATGTCCAGGACGACGACGGTGAGGTTGCAGTGCACCTCCTGGCTCGATCTTCCCTTGTCCTTGGCCAAGATCGTCAGAACGTACTTGGGCACGGTCTCGCGATCCAGATTCGACATTGACAACACCCCCGTGTTCGGGTCCAACGCGAATTTGGCGCCGATGTTGCCGCCTAGAGTGAAAAATGCAAGGAGATAACAATCTCGAATGTTATTTACGTGATTTCTCGTGCACGCCGCTCTCCCTGGCGGGATCAACTCACCTACGATACTGTAGGAGATCTCGCCGTTCTTCCCTTCGTCGAGATCGTTCGCGGCCACGGTGTGGATCACGGAGGTCTTCAGATTCTCCGGCACGGCGAGGGTGTAACAAGAACCCGGCCGAAATTCTGGCTTGTTATCGTTCTCGTCCAACACTATCACTTCCAGAGTCGTGATGTCCAGAAGCTTGTTGGACCTCGCTAGGATGGAGACTGAGTAGCGCGCAACTTCCTCGCGATCCAAGATTCTCTTAAGAATGACTTCACCGTTGGGTGTTATGACGAACATATTCGATGCTATGTTGCTCGGGATGCTGAAGGTGACATTACCTATGCCAAGTGAAATAAGAAGTTAATTAAACGCGTGCTTAATTAAGAAGAAGGAATGTGTCGTATATTTTAGAGTAAATCGTAGAATTATTGAAGCTAAAGAAATATCGCTACAAAAGATGTTCAATTCGTTATTTCTTCTGACACTATATCCTCCACATTCTTTTAGTTTTCGCTCTGCTGGTACTCGTTTTATCGAAACTCATGTTTTATAAATCAATCTGTATGCATATTTTTATATCTAGATTTAGTTTCATATATTCTCACGGTATATTATTAGATATTTTTATACCAGGATGGAGAATTGATTTGACCCAACTGGCCACTTTATTAAAATTCAGAACACGACGTTTCGGCCATGGATTTTGGCCCTTTTTATTTTTTTATATTTTCATATAGTATTTAATATATTGATACATTATTTTCATATTTGCGCTATTCAACGAATATAAACTGTATAAAGAATATATACCTATGCATAATTATTATTTATCATATAATTTGTTTATTTCCAAACGCGGAAAGGAACGATCACCCTACTCATGGACCCGGCAGCTTCGCGACGCGCGATTTTCCGATCAGTAGCGCGGAAGCATTAAAGTCACCGACGACCGCGTCGGTGACTTTAATGCTTCCGATTCTCGAATTCCAACGTGCTTAGCCCCGTGCTGGTCGGTTTTTAGCGGGCTCATATTATTATTATTTGCGCTATTCAACGAATATACATTATGTAAAGAATATATATGTATTATTATTTATCATATAATTTATTTATTTCTAAACGCGGAAAGGAACGATTACCCTACTCGGCAGCTCCGCGACGCGCGACTTTCCTATCAGTAGCGCGACGGCCGCGTCGGTGACTTTAATGCTTCCGATTCTCGAATTCCAACGTGCTTAGCCCCGTGCTCGTCGGTTTTTTAGCGGGCTTAGAACAAAGCGACGCGGTTTGGCGTACGTGTGTACGTGTCGGCGGCACGGCAATCCTTCGTCGTGGCTACCAGTAGCGACGTACCGTGTGCGTACATGCCGTGCACACTCGAAGCCGCCACGTCGGTGTGTGGAGGTCGGTGATTTGCCTATGCGTACAGCGGCAGGCTGGCGGCACGATGATATACGCGGCCATTGTTTCGCCCCGTCCTTTCTCTAATCCCTTGGCCTTCCTGCGCGTTCCGCGCTCGCTCCCGCATTTTGCAACAACCTCCCCCCTATGCATTACCGAGCCGCTGGTCACCGAAGGACCGGCACCTTTGGTGCGTCCACGGGGCGCTAATGCGCTCGTCGCGATAGATTCGTGGCGAGCCAAGCGATGCGCACCGTGCTGTCGTCTTCGGTGGAGCTGGTTCACCACGCTGTGATCGCTTCTCATCAGAAACAGGCTGACTCGAGGCGCAAGTACGCGGATCTAACGCGGAGAAGTGATACGCGGAATGTCACGCCATGGTGACCATTGTACCACGGCGTGACATTTCAGAGGTGTGCGTGCGTGCGCGCGCGCGTGTCCGAGAAATGTAATGTTTGTGCCACGTATACAATTAATATTTCGCTTATTGTTAGTGCTGATTTTCTTGCACGATGAAAAGTCGCACTAGAGTTGATTACGCGCGGAAAAAATGCTACTGAATTAAAAAAATGAAGTTACTTGTGAATTAAACGTTGATGTCACGGACTGCCACAAACATAAAATGCACTATCTGATGTTTTTCATTCGTTAATACTGACGTTTCAACTATTTTATTTCAATTACACCGATATTGTTGATACTTCTTTGTTTTTCGTGCGCGTACAATATACATAGGATGGACAATTTCCGGAAAGAGCGCCTTCAAGAAACATGTCTTTTTCTCTTGAACACCTCCTTCTCTGGAGACTGCTAATATGCATATATCGCGCAGTCACACTCACGAGGCTCTCGCAACGATAATTAGCGGCATCGGCCAATTCCACGCGTCCCACGATGAACGCGGCGATCTTAAATAACGCGAATGAATTCGCGCGAAGGCTCGTTATCGCGTTTTCCGAGGAAGAGAGATCCAAGGATGCATTTCTCATGAAAATCACGGTGTATTCTATGAGACGGACAAATCTCGGAGTTTTCTCAACCGGCGCAGATCATGACTCGCTTTTTAAGGCGTGCGTGCAAGGAGACGATGCAAACGAACAAGGCCCGGCCGCAGCGGGGTATTCTGGATGGAACGGCGTTGCCGACAACTCCGAGGGAGTCCAAGCCGCGCGAGTCATTTCGCTAAATTTACTGTAATGCTCGGTACCGGCCGGATTCGAGGCAATTATTCCAGGTATTTTCGTAGCAGAGCTCGCCTATTAGCCGCGGCCGCGATTATGCGGCACCGTGTGCGTGTGGTGTGTAGGTGGTGTGCGCTGGGCGGCGAATCCACCGACGCACACTGTCCACGCCGAAGGCTCGCTCGAGGAGAAAGAAAAGTGAGATCGCGATCGTCAGAATGCGAGTGAGACGCCCGAGAAAAGTACGAGAGATAGTGGGCTGTAATTTCAACCGCGGCCGTCTCGCACACTTAAATTGACAGCCCAGTTTGCACCGGCGAGGACTTACGCACCATCGAAACAATAAGAACGGAGTATAGCCCAAGAGTATCCTCCATTTTTCGTCCGCTCGCGCAACCTCATTAGGTTTCGACCGCACTGCTCGTTTCGGTCTGCACGAAATTTATACGCTGAATATCTTACGCCGTGAACGCGCGTTTACGTCACTCGAGGTTTTAAATCCTCCCGATCTAGTTCGATGATGTCAAACTTTATATTCGGTAATGAGAAAACTTGACGAATTTTAATTTAGATCCCTAGATCCCACTTGATAAAAGCCTAAACCACAGGTCAAAACGTTGTTTTTTTTTAAATAAAAGATTTTTCCTGCCAGTTGAGGTCGATGTATTATTTAATTTGGAACTTTAGTTTATTTTGCTAACGTAGCGTGCTGGAAACACATAAGCGATTGCGCGATAAGATTTCTTGTCTTACCTTGATCCGCAATCGCTGGTCCCGCAACGTTCGCCACGTGTCCCCCAATGTGGAGTGTCTCAGAAATCTTAGCGATCGGGTTAGGCAACAGTAGCCGAGGAGGTCCGCTTGTCTGCGCCGCCACCGGGTTCAGACTCAGCTTCAGCACGGCCTTGCGGGGTGGCGACCCATGATCGTTGGCCGTGATCTCGAGATTCGCGGGCTTCGTGATGGGTTTCGTGAGGCTCACGATACCCGATTCATAGCCCACGGTGAACCGCGACTCCTCGTTGCCCGATGTTATCACATAAGATATCCGACCGTTGTCGCCAGAGTCCCTGTCCACGGCAACGACTCTTACCAGGCTAGCACCTGGTGAAAAAAAATAATAAGAATTTGATTAAAATCGTTCCACACTGAGAAAAATGTCCGACGAAATATAATCGGATAATCCAATTACACAATAACAAACGGATATATCCGATTACATTGTATATCTGATGGAAAATATGATCGGTTTCTCAATGAAATTTCATCGGTAATTGCACTTCATCAGATGTATCCACAATTTAATTAAAAAACGTAATCGAAAAATTAACTATCGGAAACATTATTTTATTGGTTTATGCGATGGAAAATGTTCTCACAATCAGTGTATGGATGGATCTGTGTAATACACTCGGCTGACAAGATACAATACTTACCAGGCGGAAAATTCGCCGCGACGTTTATCTTGGTGAACTCTGGCGCGACGAAGACGGGATCGTTGTCGTTCTGATCGAGAACGATGACTCTCGCGGTGACTGTAGAGGCCAGCTGCTCCCCTGGTAACGCCCGGTCCGATGCTTTGAGAATCAGAGTGTATTCCGCCCTCTCTTCCCTATCCAGTTGCTTGGCCAGCGTCAAGGCGCCGGTCAGCGAGTCCACGGTGAAGCAGCCCTTAGATGGGAACTCGGCTACAAGACTGTATCTGAGTTCTCCGTTCAAGCCGCTGTCGAGGTCGCTGGCCGTGAGGTTGTAAATGGTGGAGCCAATCGCTGCTCTCTCGGACACGCGAACGATAATCGGATCTTGCGGCCAACTCGGCGAATTGTCATTGGCATCCTCTATGACGATCTTCACGGAAACAGCGATGCTTTGAGGATTCCCGAGCGAAGTCGTGTCTAACGCGCGGATCTCCAAGTGATACTCGCTTACATTCTCGCGATCGAGCGAGTGAGCGACTACCAGCTGGCCCGAGCTGCGGTCGACGTCGAAAGCCGGAAACTCGCTGATCGGCGTTAGCGAGTCCAAAGTGAAGGCCACTCGACCCGCAGGACCCGCTCCCGATACCGATCCCACTGCGTGTCCGATACTCGCGTCCTCGCGCACCTGAGCGCGTCAAGCATGAATCATTATAATCCGCAGTCCGCACTTCTTTCTCATATTAAAAAAAATATTCTCTTTTCAAAACATAACTTGTGCGTTAATCGACACTGAGGAAGTAACTTAGTAATTAATTTAAAATAAATAATTCATCTTCAAAAACAATCACTTACGCGTATGAATTAATAAGAAAGCTAAACATCAAGTCATTGGGACATATATCTTTTTCAGAATGGAAATGGAAAAGGATAAATGTTTAATTCAACGACTGATAACAACGAAGAGCCATAAGAGTGCGATAAAATTTCAATCTCCCATAGAATTCTCTACAGAATTTCTAACGTGGCATAAATTGTGCAGAGCTATCCGCGAGAAATGCACGTAACAACGGCGGCGAGACGCCGTCGGAGGGATGTTAGCACGATCATAAATGTTCTAATGAATAATTGCAGGAGGGAGCTACGGAACTCCCCCCCCTCCGGTGTCCACGCGGCGAAGCTAGAAACAAATCCGATGGGAAAATGAATCCTACCGGGTGGCGAGGTCAATAGTACTCACGTTAAAGGTGAGGCTGCTGCTGGTGAAGGTCGGCCGGTTATCCGCGAGTGCCAGAACTTCGACTCGCAACACGCGCTCGCTGTGTCGCGGCGGATGACCGGCGTCGGCCGCCCTTACGGACACCCGGTACACGTTGCGCTCCTCGTGATCGAGCACGGCCTTGGTCCTGATCATGCCGGTGATCGGGTCGATGGTGAAGACATTGTAGCCGTCCGAGTCTCGGTCTGCAGCGAGAAACCAAGTCGAGTTGTCTGGACGGGCATACTCGTCGAGAGATAGACGGATGAAATTGCGTCTGGGTGATTATTCGCACTGTTGCTTCAACTTGAACGCGCGGTACGGAAAAAATTGTCCGATATCTGTGCCGTTGACCCCGAGGAGAAACGTGTACGCGAAATAGGCGCCGCGATAGAGGCGCGGGATGAAATGCCTGACACGGACGGGGAGCGGTACATCGTCTGCACTCCTTGATACAATATTGCGGCGCGTCCCGCGATGCGATGTTAAGATTTAATCTCGGCGATCAAGATTCTTTTCTCGCCGTCCGGTACGCGCGATCGTGAAAATTTGATTCCCCGATCGTAATCACCGCCGGAGCGGACCAGCTCCGGTGTAGACGGTAACGATTCCTCGCGAGCGCGAGGGGCGGCGAGCCGCACATTTCGCTAGTGGATAACGCGCCCGGCAAAAACGCCCGCGGTCGCTTTTAAGACCGTGCATAATTGTTTCTGTAATTGCCATTGGGTTATTAAAGCCTCAAAAAGCCTCTTGCTCTACCGCGGGAGTCTCTAGAGCGGGGTCTTGGCTAAAAGAACCGAGTTTGCCGTCTAATCTCCGGCATATAAGTACTCTCTCGCTATTTCTCTATTATTCCCGACTCTTTGCGACTCAGGCCTCGGCACCTTCGTAACGAAGCCGCGCAATTATTAACCGCGAACATACAACATACACACACACATATACATACATACATATTTATACACATACATTTGTGTATATATATATGTATAAATATGTGTGTGTGCGTGTGTGTATACATACACATACGGCTAATTGCAATTTATATATTTTCTTGCCGGGATAATCGTATCCGAGGCAAAAGCGCGGTTTCCTTAATTAGACGAGCGGCGCGTAACCGATTGGTCGCGCACAGCGACCAACAGGTAATCGAGAACGAAACAGCTACCACCGCGAGATTAAGACACATCCGCGGGATGGAATTAAAGCGACGTTAAACTCAACGGTGCCGGCCCTCACCTTTCGTGATGCTGTACGTCACCGAGGCGTTCTCGCCGAGGTCCGTGTCCAGCGCCCGCACTTTGGCGACCTCCGTTCCCGGCGGCTGCTCCTCCCTGACGCTGACCACGTCCCCCTGAGGATCGACGATCTCGGGCGAGTTGTCGTTGACGTCCAGTACCGTGACCTTCAGAGACACTCTGGCTGCTCTCGACGGTGTCCCTTGGTCTCGCGCCTCCAGCACCAGCTCGTGGACGCTCTTCGTTTCACGGTCGAGCGGCTCGCGCGTGGTGATCTCGCCTGACGATTGCGAAGGGGAAAGAGAAACAATTAATTTTCATTGCGCTTCACGAGCGACGCGAGCTTAGCCGGCGGTATAGAGAGCGAATTATTAACGATCTATTAGCAATTCCCCGCAGCGCTGCGGGTAGCGTCTATTAGCGGATGCCGGGGAATATTTATGGGCGTGCGACAAAAAGCTCTGTACCGGTCTGTCTTGATATTAGATGATGCTTAAAGACTCTGGGGGCCCGATGGATCTTACGTGCCGACTCTCGGACGCCGGCGCGACCGATGGAGATCGCGGGTTCGTACGTATAAAATCGAATACGAGCCGGCGTCTTCGGTCGCGCGGACGTCTAGACCGACCTTATCAATTTTCCTCGTCGAGAACGGTTAATTGGATAATCGTTACCCGTACCCGCACAAGAACCATTTGTACGCGGTCGCTCGTATTCCTCCCGGTCGCGCCTCGATACCGCGAGTTTCGTTTTTCGTTTCCGCTTTCGCTCTCTCTCTCTCTCTCTCTCTTTCTTTCTCTCCTCGCATATAATAATCATACTAGGGACGTATGTAGTCGCGCGTGTAACGAGGTCCGCCGTAATTACGTATCGCAGGGAATCGGAGTCGAGGGGAGGAGGCCGAGGAGGGTACGAATAAGAAAATGAGGAAGAGAGGCGGGAGAGGGCGAGGGAGCGTGGCGGGGTGAAAGAGGAAAAAGGTGGAGCCAGAACGCAGAAGGGACCCGGCCTCCCCACCTTGGTGCACCTGGTCGGCGCATTAATGGATAATTAAGCGAACGACTTGGCCGAGAAGCCGCTAGAAACTATTCCAGGATCTGGGAAAAGGATCGGGATAATAATTCGTGGGCCGAGACGACGACCCCTATCGATGTCCGGCCCCGGCCTGGCGTGCCACCACGAATTCTCGACGTGCCTAATCGAGAAGCATCGCGCGACCATCCTAAGCGTTCACCACCGACGGTGGTGGCTGAAGGACGACCGTACACCTCCGTCGTCGACAAGACAAACGATCGACGGGGGACATGTAAACGCGCCGGCCAGTTGGTCGGGGATGCCATCCGCGCATCGGGGGATACCATCGCGCATACAATAAGAAGTATATCGTAGGACGCGTGCTAATGCGTTTCTCGTGTTAGCCGTGGGACCGCGCGACCGATCTCACCGTCATTCTCGTGAGAGGAACGCGGCTTTTTGTCCCTGCGTGCCTCTCTACCAATATTTGGAAAACCATCGCCGCGATTGGATGGTAGGCGCCGAGTCCCGTGACGGGCATCTGTCAGTTTCTCGACAATCAAACAGCCGTTCGGCGAATGGAAACGGCAGAAAATCAACTCGTGGAATCCCAGACCGGGATTAGATCCACGTCTGCCCCGCGGAACCTGCTCGGCAGCTTTGCAACCGCGCGCGCGAGCACGTTGCCAAGCTGCGGAGTAGTCGAGCAACCTTATCTTTAATTTCATCACCGACACAAAACCACATACCAAATTATCGACGCGCAGAAAAGCCGCGGGGAAATGTCGCTAAACATGTTTGCCGCTGGAAAATATATCGCTAAATAATCTGCGAGATCCGATCGATATTTTTATATCACATGCTTAATTATAATATAAATCGACCGTAATCGTCATTCATCACGACGCGGCGCACACCGGACGCGGCATGCACATGCGTAATAAATGACGTGAGAGAGATTATCCATTCTTTTTTTTTCCCCTTTTTCTTTTCTCGCGGATCTTCCTCGTGCAAAGTCAACGCACTACAAAGTTACCTACGACGTAGCGCCGTGCAAGCATACCGCGTGCTTGAAGCGAGCGTGCCGGTGCCGACATAATAGACGAGCCACGTGGCGTAGATGGCACGTGGCCACGCCGCAACAGGCATCCAATCGATAGGCGAGTCGATCACGGTGGGTCACGGAAATTCTTCGAGTCTCAAGAATCGGTCGTGCCGCGCGCGTACTCGCAACGTGCTTAAGGGGATGCTGGGGTGATTCTGCACTTTTGCACCTCTTGCACTTAAAACTGTCTGCTTCGTGGAAACATTTGTGTAATACACAAATTAAATGGCTTACGTGTGCAGATCGAAAGCAGCTTGCTGTTCCGGCTAAATTAAAGAACAGCATGGCATCACTGAAACTAACAATAAGTTTGTAAGTCTAATAAAAAATAATCGTGAGCAACATACAATACGTATAAGTAGTATGTGTTGCTCACTATTATTTTTTTATTAGATCCAGCATCCCCTTAAGGGGGTGCTGGAGTAATTCTACACTTTTTGCACATTTTGCTGCTGAAACTGTCAATTCATGCAAACAGTTGTGTAATATGCAAATTATGTGTCTTTTGTGTACAGACCGACAGCGTCCCACTGTTCGGATTAATTCAGAGAACAACATGGTATTACTGAAATTATTATAAGTTCAGAAGCTTAACACGCGGAGAGATACGATATGGTTACCACATGTCTAATTAGGGTTGGCACAACCCCCAAAAATAGTAATATTTTGGACAGCTGTATCTGTGGCTGTCGTACCCACATTGGTATGATAAGTAGTGGAGACAACTATATGCGTTTTGTGCAGCAAACTTAGTGAATGTTGCAACACAAAACAATGTAGATGCCCCTACTATTTATACGGCAACATTATAATTTTAGTTATTTTTCCCTTAGCCGGTCTTTCCGTGCAAGAAATCTATTCACTCACATAACTTATTTGAACGAATAGATCTTTTGTTAGGCTTCTAAGCTTAATTTCAATGATACTGTGTTGTTCTCTGAATTGGTCCGAATGGTGGGGCACTTTCGGTCTGTACGCATAAGCCTGATAATTTGTGTATCACACAAATGTTTTCATGAATTGACAATTCTAGATGCAAAAAGTGCAAAAGGCGCAGAATCACTCTAGCATCCCCTTAAAATGTACGAGAGGCGCGAGGTGGTGAGGAGCGCGACTTTGACACTTCCTACCGACATCCGAGGTGACATTCGACTCGTGCGGAAGAGAAGGGGAGGGGGGAGGCATCGATTGTTAACAGCCCCCGATCACATATTAGGAACCGGTCGAGTCGCGCTGACAATCGAATATTCCCTTACTTCTCCCGTCGCGTTCCATCGCGCGGACAAGGGCGTGCCATTCCATAAATCACCCGCCGGTCGATCCGCCGACATTGTAAGCCAACACGCGATTGCGGCCCCCCCTTAATTGGATGAATGGAGAAAAGGGCGCCATTAAGCGAGTGTGTTACGAGCGACGACCTACGCGGAAGGAGCGGAGGATCTTCGCCGCTCGAGGGTTTTCTCAATGGGAGATCTCGCGGTTAGAGCCGATCGAAGGACAATGGCCGGGCGAAATTTCAACTCATTCCGCCGCAGGTCCGTTGACCGGACAATGTGCAGTCGCGCCGCATGCGGCGGGGATTAATATAGAAGTACTCGTACGACAAGACAGCTGATACTTCCGGCAGCGCGATCGCCCCCACCCACATCTCGCCGTCGTTATCCCTCATCTTTTTTTCCGCCTCTCCGGTCCTCCTCGTCCGCGCGCACGGGATGACTCGAGAAGTCCCACCTCTGCAAACAGGCAGCGGATACGACGAAACGGAGAAAGAGAGAGGGAGACCCGGGGCTCCGGACCGTGTACACAAATACTCCCGTGTCGCATGCCAATCAAACTGCGCGCATTGCACACGTGGTGCACGCCGCATGCGTGTGCGCGTATTTCGCGGCGTGTGACGGGCCCCGGGACCCCGTTCCTGATGATTCGTTACACGCCGACCAGGCGAAAGCGCCACTCTTACCGGATTATATTTTAATATCCACGAAGCGTACACACTGCCGCAACTTAAAATGAGCTATACGGAGATCCCGCAAAAAGAGAGGAAAAAAAAGAGAGAGAGAGGAGAGAAACGATCCTCGTGTCGTTCTTGTTATTCCAGCCTGGTAATTTGGTAAATCGCCATTGAGCGACATCGCGAGCTTTAAAAACCTCGCCGGCGGTATTTGTGAAATGCCTGATTTATTTAACAATCGCATTGTAACGTACAGTTTCAAGTGACGAAATATTACCGCAGAGGCTTTCGAAACGGTCCCGGCGAGCGCTGAGCAATGTTGCCCGGGGTACGAGGAACGTACTCTCTCATCGATTACGAAATCGCTCGACAATGGCGCGGCATAAAGGGCTGTTAGGTTGACGCACAAGCGATGCGTAAATTACACACGGCTGACACGGCTGGAGGCCATTCGGTACATTAATAGTCTCTCTTTTTCCCGCCCGTGAGCGGCTCTCCTTCCACTTCTCACGCGCCTAAACCGATCTCTCTTTGATCCTCGTCCGTTTCCCTCTATCATGTCGCTGTGAAAGGACAAGGGAGACTCGGAGAATTAATAAGAAGCTAGCGAAGGCGCGCTCAATTTTTATGTAACGGGCGAAGAACCTGTCTTAAACAGGAAGTAACCGCAGGCTGCCGCACTTGGCGCACTGCGAGCGAGGACGCGGAGGAGAGCCGCGATGGAGGACAGAGCGGCGGAGCGTGGACGAGAGGGAGACGTGACACGGAGAGATCGGCTAGGCGTTGGCCCGATACACGAGATTGAATCTAGCGGAGATAAAAGATTCCGCGACGGCGCTTCGGGACGAAGGACAGGGATAAGGTGGTGGCCAAATATCGCCTACCCTAACTATATTTTATCCCTGTGGCCACAAAAGTGGTCGAAAAAAGTTCTGATAGAGCTTAAAATGACGGACGGACATCACTTTATTTGTCACCAACTGGAAAATGCGAGCGTTTGCTAACTTAGGTTTTTCGCAAATTTTGTAACGAAACGGAAAGTGACATTTTTTTAAACGCGTTCCTAATATGGGCTACTTGTGAGCTTAATATTAAATTGTTAATAATAATTGTTAACATTGCGTTTTGACGTTTAATTGTAATATACCATCATTCGATTCTGTGATTCATATTGTCTAACGTGGTACTCTTGGATTTGGAAAAAGAACAAGCGATAATACAACTACGCTATTTCCCGTAAACCCCTGTCGCTAGATCAGCCGACGTCATTTTATAAAAGTGTCATGATCGTTACAGCTATATTAAGAATACCGGTTGTTCATAAAATAAGCTAATTATCCTACTTTACCCGCAATTCTGCCCACAGTTAACAGATATCAATATTAGTTTCGCTAAAATGGAGTTGGGCGATATTGGGTACATAGGCGATATTTGGTGCCACGTACCCTGCTATTTAGAGACCCGAGAGAACAAGTTCGGTAGGATTTCAAAGAGGATCGGTATTATCGAGCACGACGCGGGCCATCGCTTCCGTTTTTTGGCGACGCATTCCTGCGCGATGAAATATACGCAGTGTCGCGAGTATGACAATAACGCGAAGCAAAGCGAAGGAAGAGATCCCGAACGTACAACCGAAATGTTAATCGCGAATCGATCACTGTCACCCGGCAGCCGCGAGAAGCACCGAGGGGACCGTCCATCGAATCAGGAAGTTTCTCCTTGTAGTACATCTCTTATTCACGGTTGTCGAGTAGCGCGGCCGTAACTCCGGTGTGAATTTAGCTTGTCCGAGAACGGGCCGGCCGGAGGATAATGCGAGTCTTTGTTGCCGCGGGTCTGTTCAATGAAATTCTCGAATTACACGTTCGCAAGCAACTCGAGAACGCCGGCGGAGCCGAAACTCAGCGAACCCGTGGAAACGATTCGCTAATATTTTTCTCCGCGAGTTTTCGAGCTGCGTGGGCATCTCCGGTTCGGTCCTCGAAGCCGGGACCTGGGCCGGGTCCGGCTTTTGCAAATACTCCAACGTCGTTGTGACGAGAATCTATATATACTCTGTAGCGTTTGACGGCGACGCAAACAAAGTGCAAACGAACGACGAAACGAAGGGAACGAAAAAAAGAAAAACAGGAAAATACGACAGGGCGTATAGCCTCCTCTTACCTGTGTCTGGATCGACGGTGAAGCTGCTGTTAGCCTGGACCACTGCGTATCTGAGAAGCGAGTTCTTGCCGATGTCGGGATCGTTGGCGCTCACGGAGCCCACCAGAATGCCCGAGGGTAGATTCTCGAGCAGCTCGAATCCGTAGAAGTCCTTTTCGAACTGTGGATCGTTGTCGTTCTCGTCTAGGACCATCACCAGCACGGAAGCACTCGCGGTCGCCGCGGGTGAGCCGTTGTCGGTTGCGAGGACCGTCAGAGCGTGCCGATCGAGAGTCTCGCGATCCAAGCTCTGCGCCAGGTAGATCCAGCCGGTGTTGGGGCTGATGCGAAAAGCGGTGGAGCCTTGAAGACGGTAACTCAGTCTCGCGTTATTTCCAGTGTCCAGATCCACCGCTGTCACCTGAAGAATCTACAAGTGACAAAGAATTCAGTTACTTCGCGACAATCAATTCGTTCAACGAATTTATTAAGCTGGTTTTGCGATTACTGAGCCGCGCACGAGCGACGACTTTACAACGTTTAATACAATTTGTAAACAAGCATGGTGGAATGTTAAACTTCCAGACAAACAGAACCACGATAAAACTCGAAACAAGAGCAATCGCATCATCCGCAGACATCTCTCGCGATCTCGCGAGAGCGAGAAACGGTAAGAAAAGGAGAAAAAACAGTGGCGGCGTCGGGACCAGTCAATCCGGTCGCTCCGTATTAATTAAATGCACCCGAAGACCGCGTACCCTAAACACGTTCAGGCCAGACGATGTTTTCCAGCGCGGGAGGACGGCGAATTGCGAAGGTCGAGGAAAAAGAAGAGGAGGAAAAAGTGTAGGATCGGGAGTGTATGAGGTCGTGTCTCGCGCATGAACCCGCGGCTTACGAATGATGGATGGTGATGGAGGGCGAAGGGAACGAGACGGGAACGGAGGAGGAGGAGGAGGAGGTGGAGAAGGAGGATGAGAGATGCCGCGACCGGGTTGTCTTTACGGAGGACCAGGAGGGGACGGGATGCAGGTTATCATTAGACGAGGAACCTGACGTAGGAGCAGGCAGTAATGTGTCTAACTGTACGTTATTAGTTCACGGTGGGTGAAGGGTTACGCTCACTGCCAAGTTACTCGCCTGCCCGCGCATCTATCTCGCTCTCGCGCTCAGATCTTCCTGTCTCGCTCCATCTCTAACGTACACTAGCGGCTGAGATATTGTCCGGATACCACCGACAGCTCACAGATCTGTTTCGCCGATAGATACCACAGATATATATCCAATACATCGGGAGATGGAACGGAAGATCGAGTAGCGATGAGGGAGGAAGAAAGAGGAAGAGAAAGGGTCGAGCTGGACGAAAAAGAGAAAAAGAGAGAGAGAGAGGGGGGGGGGAGCGCGAATTGCCGCGACGTCTCCGCTCTGCCGTGCCCGCCCGTGCGTTGCATTAAAAATGCGACGTCGTTTAACGGGCGTATCTTGTGGCGAGGATCTCTCTGCCATTCGTCATCGGTATCCTCGTATTCGGGATTACGTTTGCTCCGTACGCGGCTACTATCGCCACGAACGGACCTACCGGTCGCGCGCATCAGCGATGAATCTGGTTCTTCGCGAGTTTCGTGGCTAATGACTCTCTTTCTCCTCGACACGGTCCGTCCTCGCGAAACCTCGCCCTTATTTCGACTTTTTGCCGGATAATGACTAATATGTGCAGACAATTACGAAGGAATAGATGCGCATCGCTGTCTGCGGACGGACCGACGTTTCGAGCCTCGCGTTGAACTCTCTCTGAGCGTCGCTCTCTTTCCGACGACGGAGATCGAGAATTTGGACGGGGACGACTAACACGGGAATTCAAATTTCGCAACTCGTATCGAAATTCTGTTATTTCCGGTACAACGGGAACGTAACACGAGATAGACCTTTCTCCGTTGGATGACTGCTCGGAAATTTCTTCGCAAAACGATCGACCGTGTGGCGCGGCGCGGCGTTCCTGCGGGCCTATCGACTGTTACCTATCAATCCTAGGCAGGCTCTCGTGGCACTCGCGGCTGCTCGCAATCGGTATCAACCGCGGCAACATGCCGCGTCTAGATATCAGATTATCGGGCATTCCCTATCCATCTCCCGGCTCCGAACTGGTCTGCCGAGCAGCCACGGCGGAGCAACATCGGCTAATCTCGCTGCAGCGTGATGCAACGTCCGGTTAATTCCGTTCCTCTAGTCGGCGTGGGGTTAATTCTCTCTTTACCTACGAGGTGAACTTGGCGAGTCAACGTCTTCTTCTTCTTCTTTTCCTCTTCCTTCCTCCGTGCCCTTCTCCCTCGAGAGAAACTATCCGGAAGGGGAGTAGACGACTGGTAGCCGCGGCGTACGCCTTGCGATACGAGAGGGGGCAATGGGTTCACAAGTGCGTTCTTCCTGGTTGTCCCGGATAAAATTACGCGTACCCCGAGACGGGAGAGTCGTTCGACGCACGGAAGCAAAAAAAACCTAACCGAGGAAAAAAGGGAACCATCGCCTCGCAAAGAGTACCGATGAAGAGCGGAAGAAAGGCTGAAGAGAGGTTGTTAACTTTTACCACCTCTACCATTCGATCCAGAAATTCCTTCTTTTGCTCTCTCTCTCCCTCTTTCTCTCGCTCCTACCTGCTTCCTTTTTCGAAGTACCCTACCGCATCCTTTCGACAAACAAATGCTCGCGTGACGGGCGTGTAATGAAGATTTTTCTCACCTGGGAATCGAGCCTGGCGCCTTCGGGAACCTCCACGTGATACTCGTTCCTCTCGAACACTGGGGGGTTGTCATTCACGTCCTGCACCTCGACGCTCAGGCTGAGGTTAGACGAGAGCTCGGCGCCGTCCAGGGCACTTATCAAGAGGCCATGCCTCTGCTGGGTCTCGTAATCCAATCGCTTCGCCAAATAGAGCTCGCCAGTGTCCTCGACTATCCCGAACAGATTGTTGCTGTTCTGACGGAGGACGTAGCGTATTGACAGCGACGACGTAATGTCGGGGTCGATGGCATGCGCCACGTACAGGGGTACGTGGAGAGGGTGCGACTCTGGCACCGAGATGCGGACGGTGCTCGTTCGAAACGACGGCGCGTTGTCGTTCACGTCTTCTACGATCAATTCCATCTGTAACGGAACGAGAAACGCGGTTAGATCGTCGCGCAGGTGCATTACCCGATCGACGGCGCGGTAATGCGTTTATCACAGTATACTAAGACCCGGTTTCACCACACGTTGCTTAACTTTAATCTTAGTTTAATTCAGGTTTGCTTCTTTCTAGAGTAACAATTGGAAGGAGACGAAGGGCGAATTAAGCTAAGTTTAAAGTTAAGCGACGTTGGTGAAGCCAGGCCTAAGCAGCTACTCGTTAAACGCGAAACCGGTGAACGGCCAACTAAAGTCCCCGCGTCTTTCGAAATACGATACTAATTCGCTAACGAGCACGCACGCGTTGCTCACTGAATATTAATATAATAATGTCGGTGGGAACGCAAGAAATCGTAGCGCGGACTTTTCGCACGCCTCGGGATTATTATATGTGTGCATTCAGGATAAATATATTGAGAACACGGATAAACGGCTATGATTACGGTGAGTTAATACCGAGATACGATGATTATCTGGATGCGCAATTTACCTGGCAATATCCAACCGAGCCGCCATTACGTGCCTCGATGCTGAGAATGTATTTGTCACGTGATTCCCGATCGAACGGCTGTCGAATCCGCAGCATCCCCGTATTGGGATCCAACGAGAGATCAGCTTCCTCTCTTGCCAGATAAAACCTGCTTGGCCGTTCGCCTGGAAATGCAGAATACATAATTTAAATAATGCATACAGATATACATGCATCAGATATAAATAAAGGGGGGAAAAATAGCTTTAAACGAGGGAAGAGAAACACATATTGCGTTAATTTATTCATAATAAGTCTCGTCGTCCACCTCGTTCGGTCGGGACTAATTAAAACAGTTATATCGGAATAATCTCGATAAATTATGACGCGGGTATCAAAAAGTAGTCGAGTTTCCGGCTGCATTTGCATGAAGATTCGCATTATCGCAACTTAGGTTTCATAATGGCTTCTGGTTCATCAGACGTTGAGTTGATCGACGTGAGTTGCTATTAAATCACGATACTTACGTCGCGTTCGCGGCTAAACCGAGAGATCGATAACTAGTTAAAGTCAGTTGCCCGTCCGTCGATCCCATACAAAACTCTAATGAAGATGTCAAATTGATTTGCTCTTACGATATCAACGATCTTCAACGAGCGAAACGACACACACACACACACACACATCGATCGTCAGAAAAATACTCGGGCGTAACTTTAAAGATCTCTCGCGTGTTAGCAAGATACCTCGGGGAAACGTAGATCGGAGAGAACGCGGTGCCCGGTAACTTTACCGGTAACATTAGTATACCTAACTTTTTGCGCTTTAACTCGTGCAAATTAGAAACAAAATCACAATTTGCTAGATACCTTGTTATCATACACGTAGAAAAAGGGAGACAAATTCATTCGCTGTTAAAACTACGGCGACCCTGAACCGATGTGCAATCATAGACTTATTCTGATAAACTGCGCCTTCATACGGGCGAGCTGAAGACAAGATGCGAAGGACAGAGACAGTCCGCCCTAGAGACCCTGTAAACAGTGACTGGCCATAAGAGTTCGTCAAATTCCCGCGAGTGAGAAAGAAACATACGCTATCTCACTCTTCTACGATCGTAGAATCGTTTCTATGTTTCTCTCTGACTCGCAGGAATTTAACGAACACTTATGGCCAGTCTCTCATTACAGGGTCTCTAGTCCGTCCGTAATTCTGTCTCTTTCTTTCTCACGTGAAAAGAGCGAGAGAGACCAACTCACGCATTAGACAGAGACACGGTCTCAGTATTCCCTCTCTCTCTATGTCTCTCTCATGCCATCTTCAAAACCTTTTACGGGACGCGCAGTCTATTATCTGTATAAATCCATGTGTATACAGGCCTGTGTCCACGACACTAGAACTTGGATCAAGAAAAGCGGGCTAGCCGAGACGCGCCGCTAAGTAGACCCTTCGAACGAGAGCTGTCGCTGTTGAGATCTTATTCGTCGCGGTTACGATGGGGGAGCGTTGCGCTCGAAGGATCGTGTCCGATCGGCGGCACGATCTCACGACTGACGATCGGCAATGATGGCGGCAGAGACGGGCGGGGTGGCCCGCGGTCTATACGTTTGCACGCTCGGTACCGAGCGCCGATCGTTGGCCGTTTACGGCGAGAGCGCACGTGTGCCCCGTGCACACGCATGCGAGTGCGAATGAGCGCCGACAGATGAATGATGGCGGTATATCGATTCCACGACACCGACCTCGCTCGACCTCCTCACGCGAGCCGCCCGGTCCCGCCGCTTCGGAATCAATTAATAGCCAAATTGGCCGGCCATTACCTCGCTGGCAGACGCAATTCCGTGATGGACGATTCGAGCCGCGCGTTTCCTCGACGTAACGAGTTCCGTTGGCGATCCGCACGCCCACGTCGTCCCGAGAACCGTGAGGAGATGCTACGTTTGCAGGGAAACAAAGTCCATGGTCTATAGTTCGGTGGTAAAGGGACTATCGGTGGTGTTGAAACCGCGCGCCACGCCGAAGGATATACCGACGGGAATCCCCTGTTTAGATCTAACACGTCGCGCGCCGAGATGTGTCCCCCCAATCCGCCGTTTGATAGATGATGCTGTATAATTGGACAGCTGATTTCAGAGAGAGAGACCCCTCTCGAAATCATTAGCGTGTCAGTATCGAGTCAAAGGCGGATCGTTAACGCACGTCGTGCTGACGCAAAAAGGATCTTAATCAAATTGATGAAAACGCGTCTCATTCAGTTTACTTTTCGCAATCGGCAATTAACCGTTTTATTAATGATGTATGAAATCCGGTCCAACGGCAATTCATTACGGTCGCATGGACCTTTCCTGCGTTATCCGACGTCGCGCCGTGAAAACACGTCGCGAGGCCACATCCAATTACAGACGCGTCTCGTCGAACGCACACGCAGATAAGGCACGCACCAGCACGCGTACCGATAATTGCTGCGATCGATCGGCGCGGCCTGATCGGTCGCGCGTGGTCTCGGCCAAAACGGGAAGTGCCCCGCGGACACTTGGGTCGCCGGAACGCGTTCTTCCTAGATAGAGTTTCGACAAATCCGCCGCGGGAGATCCACCGCGACGAGACCGATCCCGGTCAAGTTTTTCTGTGCGGTGCAGACGGGAAAAACCAGGTAGACGGTGGACGTCATCGACGAGTCGGCTCGAGAGATAGCCGTCCATTTCATTTCCACGGTAATTCGCGACGTCTGCGTCCGCGTCTGCGTCGTCGTCGTCGTCGTCGGCCACGTTGTTTGTGTCGTCTATATCGAATGTCGTCGGTGACATCGGGTGACATCAGACTGTTCGACCAGTGCCTTAAAGATGGTACTCGGTCGCGTACGTGGACGGCATAATTTATAGACCGCTATTTATACACGAGCCAACTCGCTCGTCCTTTTCCCCCGTTTCCCCTTTCGCGTCGACGCACGCGACAGTGTGGAGGACGTATGCGCGTACGCACGCATACATGCGCGAGCAACGGCACGAACTTAGGTCAGCGGTGCCCAACACTTTGGAGAACATTTCATATTTCGCTCGGGAATGAAAACAAAATCACGACGAAGCCTGATTCGCGAGAAAGTACCTTAATTCTCGATGCTAAATAATTCCGCGAGCATTTACACGTCGGGACATTGATACAATCCCCCATCATCCCCGGCCCGTTTCGTAATATCCGAAAGATTGTCCGGTCAGACACCCTATACGCGGGCAGGACACGCGTACGTGTGCACGACGGGTACGCATACTTGGCTCGGATCGGCTCGTTCGTGTTAAATGTATGTGCGAAGGATTGAAACGCCGCGCTCTCGCGTGGACGTGTATACGCGCGGCGCGCGTGTAATTACGCGAATGCGTTGGTACCGCGAGAGACTGGTCTGGAAGATGTACGCGTTTTATATCCACGGCGATACCTCTACCCATCAGCATTCGGTACCCGTGTTATTAAACGTCCGCGTGATCTTTTTCCACGGGCCCTGCGCCGCGAGAGGAGGGTCTGCCGAGATCCTGTACTCTACTCCCCGTATATAATTACGATTTACTCCGCATCCCGATACGCCGAGATACCGCTCGAGTATCCTCTGCCCGTGCAAAAGGATTTCAACGCGCGACTTCGGAAGGGTATGACACGCCGGACAAATCTGTGTCCCTTCCCGCCACGTAAGCCGCCGTGGCGAGAGAGCTAGCCATTAAGATACGCATATTTGGCAATAAATCTCACGGTATAATAAAATCGAAGCGCGCCAATTCGCACGTTCTTCCTACGAATACAATGTATTGCCGCTCGGATTTTTTTTACCTTATCCCAAATTCGGTCGAAATCACAAAGGATCATTTAATAGAGCGATTACCGTTTATTACAATTAGTAAAATAAATCTTACGCACACGGATGAAAAAAATTTCACTTATAAGAGTTGAACTTTTTTGTACGTGTATGTACATTGAAACTTTATTACCTATATGCAACTTTATACCGAGAAAATTTTCCATCGGATAAACCAATTAAATAGTGTTTCCGATGGTTAATTTTTCCGATCAAATTTGATTGAAAAACCGACTATATTTTCCATCAAATATACAATTTAATCGGGCGTATCCGTTAGTTATTACGCAAGTGGATTATCCGATTATATTTAATCGGACATTTTTCTCGGTGTAAAACAAATCGAGACGAGTTTCTGTTACGTTTTGTTGTAACGCATATATAAAATGTATCGACAAGCCGAGCTCTGCGATACTTGGCAAAAGAATTACGAGGCCGTAAAAAGAAATGTTACACACATGCGTCTTCTATTTCGCCCTGTTTACGTCGCATAGAGGGCGTTATTTTTATTTAGAGTAATACGCAAGGTGCACATGTAGCAGGCGGTCACGTTTTTCTCCCAGCGGTGCCGGTTGTTCGCGAGGGCTCCGTCACCCCAGTTACACACGCGTGCCCCCGGGGTGCCCACGTGGGTGTAACGAAGACAAATCGCTCGCGTATTTGATTAATTCGCGGAGATCGCCGGTCCAGCGCTTGAGATTCTTCCGACCTCCTCCTCGCATCCTTCGTCCCCCGGCAGCGTGGATCGAATCGAGAGCGAGTTTTTGCCGGCGACGCCGAGGCAGGGAAGAAACCCGTAACGCGCTCATTACTGATTCTCGCCCTTATGCGTTCTCCGCACGAATGGCACGGTTAAAACGAGACGTCCCGTCGGATTTTTACTAGAAATCTCTCCGGTGGTCGGCGAACCGACACCGCGGATCCCACGTGAAACTTTAAGACGTCGACAAATTCGCGATGTCTGGACGTGATGACGCGCGAGAAGAAAGCGAGCGGCGCCGCGCGTCGTGCTATAACTTGCCATAGTAATATCAACGGGGGTGTATCTTCGGGAAGGCAGGCACTAAGATGCGCCACTTAATTTTACGGCAAGAAAAATCACGGGTAGGACTAGACCAGAATTCGAATCTGGGACCTTCCGCTTGCCGGGCGAATGCTCTTCCGACTGAGCTATCCAGGCCCACACTCGAAATCTTTCTCGCTTATCTACTTCATTTTACTGAAGTACAAAGAAGGAATACTATACTTGCGTTAGTCCCCCTTCCTTTTTGCATGGGCAAGTAATCGTGAATGGTAGCGGTCAGTGTCTACCGATCAGCGTATTCTGCTTTCACGGCATGC